TGGATGCATTCAACTGTGATCTCGTGTCCAGAGCTGAGTCGGAAAAAAGTCCTCGGATAGGTTTTTTTTTTTTTTTTTTTCGGTATCGTTTTTGGAGATGCCACAAGTGAATGCACCATAACTGTCTGCCTGTCTGCATCATAGATTCTGTTTCTGGTCTGTTTGTGCGGTTTGATTCATTCTGTTTCTGGTCCGCTTGTGCAGTTTGTTCATTCTGTTTTCTGGCTCTGTCCACTGTCTCACAACTTTTTTTTTTTTTTTTTTTGGTCTCGAAATCTCCTTTCATTCTTATTCCTCTGCGCGCCTCGCTGAAGTCTTCTCTCGAATAGAACATACCCTCGTTTGTCCTATTCAGATGTCCTCCTTTTTTTTGTTTTTGTTTTGTTTTGGTCCTCGGTGTATTCGAGGAAGGTTTCCGCCTCGGTACAGACATAATGCTCTGCTTTTCTTTTTTTTTCTTTTTTTTTTTTTGGGGGGGGGGGGGTTGGGGGGGGTTTTTTTTTTGGAGGTATTTCTTTTTTTGGGTATTTTATTTGTTGGATTTTTTGTTTGCTTTTTTGTGGGGTAATTTTAAAGCGCTTTATTGTTTTTAATTAAAGGTGGTTACAGGTCATCGTTTTCCTGTCTCTCTCAATCTCTCTGGTTTGACGGCGATCGCCGAAATTTGATTGGGTCGGCGGCGATTCCATTTTTGGCGGGAATCGCCAAAATCGACGGGAATCGGCAAAATCGAATTGGATCGAGAAGGGCGGGAACGATTCCATTCTCTGGCGGGAATTGCTCTCAGCATTGGCCGCAGTCGGCGAAATTTGATTGAGTCGATTGGCGCCAAAATTGGATGGCATTCGAGAAGTAGGCGGTGAGTACCGGGAAATTTGATTTCAATTTGGCGGGAATTTGATTCCAATTTGGCGGGAATCGCGCAACAATCAATTTTGGCGGGACTGGGATTCGCAGAGAGCAGCAGCGTATTGGGAAGAGGAGTGGATGATCTCATTTTGGCGGGAATCGAGAGAGAAGAGTGCGCCGCCGATCCCGACTTCTGTTACTTTGTATTTAATCAGCCACGTGTCTCGTCGCTTGTCCGTCGGTTGTACTGCCACCTGTCTTGTCGAAGTACTGCCACGTCTCTTAGGTGCAGGCGTTGGGAATTCTGCCACGTGTCTAGCGACAGTATGGCCACGTGTCTAGCGATAGTATGGCCATGTGTCTAGCGACAGTACGGCCAAATCTAGACCACTGTCCTGACATATATCGACACTGGGAGAAAGGAAAAAAAAAAAAAAAAAAAAAAAAAAAAAAAAAAAAAAAAAAAAAAAAAAAAAAAAAAAAAAGAAAAGAAAAAAAGAACATAAAAAAAAAGAAAAAAAAAACATTACAAGGCAGCAAAGCCAAACAAACCAAAGGATAACAAACTCTTGTTAAAAGGCTTTAAGGCCTAACAATCATTTTTTTTTTTTTTTTCAATTATTCCAACAATACCATCCAACAACCAGAAAAAAAATGATGACCGTATTAATAGCTGTATGAATTCGGGGTCTCTTTGTCTCGCCTTTACCTCGCTTGTACTGCCACATGTCTCGTCCCACAGATTGTGCGTCGCTCTACTGCCAACTCTCCACATGCATTTGGACGTTTTGTGGACCAGTTGCACTCGGACGAATCCAACCTGCTGCATGTATCTATCCCGGAAAGCGTCCAAACACATGCGGAGTGTTGTGTAGTGGAGCGAGGCCCTATTGCTATGTGTCTCACGAATCCAACATGCTGTATGTATCTATCCCAGAAAGCGTCCAAATACATGTGGAGTGTTGTGTAGTGGAGCAACGCCCTATTGCCATGTGTCTCGTCAACCGTACCGCCATGTGGGTCGTCCTCACTGTCTCGCTTGGATGAAAAAAAAGAGAGAAAGCACTACCACGTATCTCGTCAGCACGTATCTTGGTCAGTTGTCCTGCCACGTGTTTCGTCGACGTACTGCCACGTGGGTCGTCCACGTGTGTCTCGCTTTCGAGTGGCCGTTCCTGCTGTTATGCAAATCTGTCCCGAGTCCCGATCATGGATCTCACCGCTCTCTCCTGAATCCCGACCATGGATCTCGCTTGTCCCGAGTCCCGACCATGGATCTCGCTCGTCGACTATTCCTCCACGTGTGGTTACCGAGCTGTAATTCCTTTTTTTTTTTTTTTTTTTTTTTTAATACCCAGCTGTAATTCCGTTTGGGTGGAAGTAGTACTGTTGAGATCAGTGTAAGAGAAAGGCTTCGTGTGATACCGAGCTGTAATTCCGTGGAGATGAACGTAGTACTGTCGATCAGTGTAAGAGAAAGGCTTCTTGTAAGAGAGTAGTGTAGTGTACCCTATGACAGTTGATCAGTATTGGGATGAGAACCTAGGTTCGGTACACAGGCTCGGGATCGCAATACTGACCGAGGCTTGGTATCTGAAGAGCGCAACATTTACTGAAACAATCGAGATCCCGACATGTTTTCACGCCGAGGATAAGCGGGATTAGGAGGATCCGTGATCAGGAGAACCGGGATCGGGACTGAGGTTCGGTGATTAGATTCGGTAATTAGGACCAGTGAGGTTCGGTTTTTGGTAATCAGGCTCGGAATTGGACCGAGGTTTGGTGGTCAACTCGGCCTCGGTCAGTATTGGGATCCCGAGCCTGTGTACGGAACCTAGGGATTAGACCGAGGTTTGGTGTTGGGATCCCGAGCCTGTGTACGGAACCTAAGTTTTTCATCCCAACGCTGATCAAACTGTCCAGGGGCTACACTGCTCTCTTACACGAAGCCTATCTCTTACACTGATCGACGGTACTACGTCCATCTCAGCGGAATTACAGCTCGGTATTAAAAAAAGAAAAGAAAAAGAATTACAGCTCGGCGGCCGCACGTGGACGAATAGTCGGCGAGCGAGATCGAGGGTCGGGACTCGGGACAGAGCGGTGAGTACGATGTTATCAGTTTGCCACGTGGACCGCAACTGTCCTGAGGCTAGGCTACTCTCTTGCACCGAGCCCGAACACCGAACCTGGACACCAATCCGTAACACCGAACCTGAACATCGAACCTGAACACCGAACCTGGACACCAAGCCGGAACACCGAACCTGAACACTGAACCGAGCCTGAACACCGAACCTGGACACGGAACCTGAACACCGATCCTGAACACAACCCGAACACCGAACCTGGACACGGAACCTGGACTCCGAGCCCGAACACCGAACCTGAACACCGAGCCGGAACACCGAACCTGGACACCAAGCCTGAACACCGAACCTGAACATTGAACCTCCCACAGGCCTCTGAGGATGTGTGGACTACAGTCAGGTGTTCCGACGTCGATAGTAGGGGCGCAGAGACTGAGGGCGAGTGCTTGTCCCTGATGGGCCCAGGTCCCAGAGACCGAGCCTGAGTGCTTAACCTGGACACCGAGGCTGAACACCGAGCCTGAACACCGAGCCTGAACACTGAACCTGAACGCTGAACCTGAACACCGAACCTCCGACAGGTCTGTGAGGATGTATGGACTACATTGAGATCTTCCTGTTTTGATTGGCGTGTCTCAGGGACTGAGCCCGAGTGCGTGTTCCCAATGAGCCTGAATGCAAATCCCCAGGCTAATCACCGATGGTTCAGGTTTTCCTTCTCCGACAGTCGGGCCCCAGGGACTGAGCCTGACTGCTTGTCGCCGATGGACCTAGTGCCCAGTCGGGCCCAGAGGGACTGGGTCTGAGTCGGGGGGGGGCCAGGGACTGAGCCTGACTGCTTATCCCTGGGGCTAACCACCTTGAAGCTGCTGTGATCAATCAGAACCCGCTCGTTTATCGGGGCCTGGACTCGAAGCCGAAGTCGAAGCTGAGCCCCGTATTCAGCTTCGAACCCGAAGCTGAAGCTGAAGCTGAGGCCCGTATTCAGCTTTGAGGCCGAAGCTGAAGCTGAAGCTGAGCCCCGTATTCAGCGTCGAGGCCGAAGCTGAAGCTGAAGCTGAGCCCCGTATTCAGCGTCGAGGCCGAAGCTGAGCCCCGTATTTATCGAGGCCTGGACTCGAACGTGGTCAACTCGAACCCGATCAACTCGAAACCGAAGCCGAAGCCGATCATTTATTGAGGCTGTGGGACTCGAAGCCGAAGCTGAGCCCCGTATTCAGCTTCGAAGGCAGCATCGGAGGAAGAGTGAGGACCATGTGCCGACCAGATTCATTGGCCCGAACTGAAGGTTTCGATATGGATATGGATAAGGATAATTTGAGATGGACACGGATAATTAAAAAAATGAATTTATTTTTCTTTGTTTTCTTTTTCTTTTCCTTTCGCTTTTGCACTCTGACAACGTTGTGAGAATATATATTGTCCAAAGACAAAAAGAAGAAATTGCCGAAGAAAAAGAAGAAAAGAATACAGGATAAAAGAAAAAAAGGAAAAAGAAAAAATGTGTTAAGAACTTTGTTGGTGGGACAGTGACAATTGGCTTATATGTGGGATGTGTCGTTTGCTTTGTTTGACTGACCGATAGGCCTTCCTCTTTCTTCCCTTGTCCTTTTTTTTTTTTTTTTGTTGGGAAAAAAATTGGACCATTTCTTGATTTATGCGTGTCATCCTTGAAAGCGCAGGGGCCATGCTAGTTACCCTTTTCTGTATCGTTCCAATTTTAACGCATGTCCCGAAGGACCTTGTCCTTTTTCTTTGACTGGATCCCTTTCTTTTTTTTTCTCATGCCTCTGCGAGGTTTGGTTTCCTCCTCTTCCTTTTCTTTACCTCCTCTTTTTTGCCTTTTGGCTGCGTGCAAGTGGGTCCTTGTGTGACACACGGGGATGGGGGCAGCCAGCCAGCGCTCGACCTGTCATCCACGTGGCTGGCCTTGGACGTCAGAGGTGATGAACAGGTGGGGCTTTCCTTCCTTCCTTCTTTTCCTTTCCCTGTTTTGCTTTTTCTTTCGCCTTCGCGCTCTGATTCACAGTGCTACAGTATATCTGTTTGATGAATTATACGTGGATGGCCTTGTGCGCAAGAGGAGGTTCTGAACAGGGGGAGTTGTAAGGAAGAAGAGAGAAACAAACGAATTCAGTTTTTCTTGTTGTCTTTGTTTTCTTTCTGTTTTTCGCTTTGGCGCTCTGATGCCATGTGACAATATATATCTGTGAACATTTTGAAATGGAGAATTTTGAGATGGATAAATTTGATATGGTTAATTTTGATATGGTTAATTTTGATATGGATAATTTTGCAGGTGGACCAGATTCATCGGCAGGAGGGTCGTCGAAGAAGCTGAAGAAGCAAAGGCAGCTAGTTTTTGCGGGAAAGGGGACAAGGAATGACTATTTTGATGTATATGGACCAACTGTATGACTCTATCCATTTTTGCCACTACCTTCCCTCCTCTCCCACCTCCGGTCCTCCTCCTCCTCCTCCGCCTCCTCCTCCTTCTCCTGCTTACCACCACGTATCTCCCAACCTCTCCTCATCACCTTTGCCATGGACTTCGTCCATCCCTGTACCGGCATTGTAATTATTTGACTCCATCAGGATTTGATCCCACAATCTGTTTATTAACGCTTAAGTTTGCGCATCAGTTGGACATGTAACCGTTAAAACCACCTGTAGACTACGGTTGTCCACCAAATAGAACGTATTATTCTCGTGAAACCAGATATATAATTATAGCTGTATGTGGGGCAACTTTCAGTCTAGATTCAGGGATAATGGCCAAGGTACGCTCTATTCTGGTGAAGAGGGTAGTAGGATCAGGGCCCACTGAGCTATACGTTTGCCAGACTACCATGGTCAAGCTCTCTCTCTCTCTCTCTCTCTCTCTCTGTGTCTCTCTCTCTCTCTGTGTCTGTTTGTCTCTCCGCCCGGGTGTCTGTCTGTCTGTCCGTCTCTCTCTCTCTCTCTTGTAGAGCAGGCTTATATCTGGTCTTGCCAGAGGACGAGGAAGAGGGTGACACTACCTCGTACACACTCAGAAACTCAGATCTTCACGCAAAGTCTCTCTCTCCTCTCTCTCTCTCTCTCTCTCTTTTCTTTTAGAAAGAATAGCTAATATACGACTTTGCGGTCGTGGATCCAGTCTGTGTTCTGTGGAGCGTGGTATCCTCTTCCTCTTCCTCTCGGGAGAGCGGGTACAAGCCGGCCATGAACCGGTTATAGCTGGTCTATTAGTCTGGCATTAGCCAGCTATAACTGTCAAAACCCGACTGTAAACCAGCTTAAACTGGCTATAAACTGCACCTGGAGGCGATAAGCGACTGTAGACCAGCCATAAACTGGCTATAAACTGGACCAGCTTGAACTTGCTATCAACTGGACTTGGAGGCTGCTATAAGCGACTATANTCTGCGTTGTTAATGAAATGATAGTATTCCTCCTCCTCCTCCTTCGTCTTCATTGTTGAAGAAATGGTAGTGTTGCTTCTTCTTCGTCGTCTTCTTCCTGTCTCTTATACACATCTAGATGTGTATAAGAGACAGCTATGCGACTGTAGACCAGCCATAAACTGGCTATAAACTGGACCAGCTTGAACTTGCTATCAACTGGACTTGGAGGCTGCTATAAGCGACTATAGACCAGCCTAAACTGGCAGTGCAAACTGAACTTGGAGGCTATAAGCGACTATAGACCAGCTTAAAGTGGCTATAAACTGGACCAGCTTAAAGTGGCTATAAACTGGACCAGCTTAAAGTGGCTATAAACTGGACCAGCTTAAAATGGCTATAAACTGGACCAGCTTGAAGTGGCTATAAACTGGACCAGCTTAAAGTGGTTATAAACTGGACCAGCTTAAAGTGGCTATAAACTGGACCAGCTTAAACTGGCTATAAACTGGACCAGCTTGAAGTGGTTATAAACTGGACCAGCTTAAAGTGGCTATAAACTGGACCAGCTTAAAGTGGCTATAAACTAGACCAGCTTAAAGTGGCTATAAACTGGACTTTGGAGACTATAACTGGCTATAACTGACTAGAATTGGCTATAATTGGCTACAACCGATTAGAATTGGCTATAACTGGCTGTGACCGGCTATAACCGGCTATATAGAAAGGAAGGGGAGGAAGGGGAAAATGTCGGGAGAAGCATTAGATTCAGTCACAGCTCCTCTGAGACCGATTGGTTGGCTGTTAAAAATTTTCACCCTGACAGGCTGACAGTGAAAATCGTTTGGCAGCCGTGTTGAAGAGCAGCAGCATCCCTTTCCTTTTTTTTCACTCTCAATTATACCTCACGCTACCTACGTACATGTCTACGCACAGCAACCCATGTCTAAGCACCGGTGCCCAAGTCCCATTTCCCCGAATTCCCAATTCCCGACCGTAGATGACCAAGATCAACGGTCAGAAATGAAGGATCAGCGTATGTGGGACTTGGCCCCGGAGGAAGGGGCAACCCAAATCTACCAGGCATAGGGGCAGCCAAAATCAGCAGCCCCTCTGTTCCCTCCCCCCCCCCCCCCCCCCCCCCCCCCCCCCCCCCGCCTCCCTTAAAATCAGCAGCCCTTTTTACTGGGAACACTGTGATTTTCCTCATTCTGGCTGGGAAGCCCAAGGCCCTTTTTTTTCAGCTTAGCTTCTACCGAAGAGTATCGACCCTGTTGGACGGATAATGGATAACCGGCTATAACAGACTAAGGTACAACTGCATTTGCTGTCGCCCTACCGTCTTCACCTGAATAGAACGCCCAGTAATTATCGTCGTATACAGCTATAATGACCGGGTGTTCTATTTGGGTGAAGACGATAGGCCTGGCAGCGTAACAGACTAACATATAACCGACTAAGGAACAACTGCTATAACCGACTAACGGAAAACAAGGTACGACCGAAATCTACCAGGTATAGACGCGGCCGAAATCTACCAGGTATAAGGGGGTATAGGGGGTATTGGGAGGGGTATGAGGGTGTTGGGGGGGTGGTTTGGGGGTGTTGGGGGGATGTATGGGGGCTTTGGGGGTGGGAAAGGGGTTGGTGGTGGGGTTATTGGGGGTTCTGGACCCTTTTTTTTTGGTGGGGGGTGCCGAGGACCCCGATCAGTTGGTGCCGACCAGTCAAGGGGTGCCGATTGTCGGAGTATGCAACACTGGTAGCAGGCCTTTTAACTGAACACTCTGCAATTTTCGTCATTATGGCTGGAAAGCCCAAAGCGGTCTTTTTTCCAGCTTCTACCAAAGAATGTCGATCCTGTTGGACGGATAACTGGCTGCAGCTGACTATGTAACCGGCTGTGAAGCAAGGTACAACCGCTTCTGCTGCCACCCGCCAAAATATGTATCTGCTGTCCTCTTCTCCCTCTCTGCATATGGTACACTGGGCAGTTTTCTATTGACGATGTTGGTGCCCATCTCAGGTAGCTTCGTTATCAACTTAGGCTTGTGTGAACTGGTGGTTTCACTGCAACTGGGGTTAAGGTGGTTTGCCCCTGTCAGCCCCGACATCGTGGGTAGGGGACTGCATGTAGTAGAGGGTTCAACCTCCTGAGGAGTCACAGCCTGTCACCGCCTGTCACAGCCTGTCACAGCCTGTCACAGCCTGTCACAGCCTGTCACAGCCTGTCACAGCCTGTCACAGGCCCTCGTTTGTTGCCCACTGAAACTCCGAAGAAACAGACTGTCACAGCCCCTCGTTTGTTGCCCTGTTATCCGTCTCTGATGAGTTGGGGAAACTTCGATGAAACAGTTTGTCACAGCCCCTGGTTTGTTGTCTTCTTGTCGCCGACATTCCGAGGAAACAGTTTGTCACAGCCCCTCGTTTGTTGAGAAAAGATATGTATAGAAAATATATATATGTATATATTAGATTTTTATTATGTGAAAAAAAAAGAAAAAACTACATTATTTTATCAATTCTGAGGCAGCTGTGTGGCGGTTGATGTGTATTGTTGCAGGCAAGGGCAGAATTGTCGTTCACCACATCTCAGGTACCCTGCAATGAGATACGAATTCAGGTAAGGTCTAACATTCTATAAATAGCGAATACAGGTCTAACATTCTATAAATAGCGAATACTGCACAGTGCATACTAAATAAGCATTACCTTGTTTTGTTACTCAACTTTTTTCACTGTGGTGACATCTGTCGTTCTGTAGTTACGTCAGTTTCAGCAGGCAAGATACAGGTAGAGGATGCCCTACATTCTATCTTGGTAAAGACAGCTAATCTTGTCGCTGTCAAAACATATCCCTTAACGTTTGGACGCTGGGGGCTACCGGACCACAATGGCTGGGGATGGAAGCAGAAAAGAAGAAAAAGGGTGCCCGATCTGGCTCCTTTTTTTTTATATGGGACGTAGTGGTGGTAAAAAGGGAGCACGATTATCGGGCATGATGATCTATTGGTAGGACGCATATCAACTACCAGTTGGACCACATTAGGAGAAATATGGTTTTGTGTTCCCATTGGCTGGCTGGGTGCCTGCCTGCCTGCTTCCCCCCCCCCCTCACCCTGAAAGGTTTGTGCTTCGTTCTAAAGCATCGATAGGTGAGGTATGGACGTAAGGCAGGAGGTCCCTACATTCTGCTCTTCGTCTTCTTCTTCTTCTTCTTCTTCTTCTGCGTTGTTAATGAAATGATAGTATTCCTCCTCCTCCTCCTCCTCCTTCGTCTTCATTGTTGAAGAAATGGTAGTGTTGCTGCTTCTTCTTCGTCTTCTCTTCCTCCTCCTCCAGTAGGACGCATATCAACTACCAGTCGGACCACATTAGGAGAAATATGGTTTTGTGTTCCCATTGGCTGGCTGGGTGCCTGCCTGCCTGCTTCCCCCCCCCCCTCACCGTGAAAGGTTTGTGCTTCGTTCTAAAGCATCGATAGGTGAGGTATGGACGTAAGGCAGGAGGTCCCTACATTCTGCTCTTCTTCTTCTTCTTCTTCTTCTTCTTCTTCTGCGTTGTTAATGAAATGATAGTATTCCTCCTCCTCCTCCTTCGTCTTCATTGTTGAAGAAATGGTAGTGTTGCTTCTTCTTCGTCGTCTTCTCTTCCTCCTCCTCCTCCTCCTCCTCTTCTTCTTCTTCTTCTTCTTCTTCTTAGTGTTGCTTCTTCTTCTTCGTCTTCTCTTCTTCTTCTTCTTCTTCTTCTTTTTCTTCTTCTTCTTCTTCGTTGTTGAAGTCTTCGTCTTCTCCTTTGCCTTCTTCACTGTTGAAGAAATGGTGGCATTCCTTCGTCTTCTGAGCCTTGTTCCTTTTTTTTACGGGTGCCGAGTGTCAGATGCTGGAAGGCCCAGGCAGCAAATAGAATGAAGAGTGCGGAGTTGAGCCGCTGCTGCTTCTAGTTCTTCTTTCTTTTTCTTTGTTCTTTTTAGAGGACTTCCTCTTTTGTAGAGATGGGGAGATTCTTCTGCTGAGAAATGGGTCCCAACGTCCCAGAGTGTTCCTTTTTTTTATGGGTGCCGAGTGTCAGATGCTGGAAGGCCCAGGCAGCAGATAGAATGAAGAGTGCAGAGTTGAGCCACTGCTGCTGCTTGTTCTTCTTTCTTTTTCTTTGTCCTTTTTAGAGGACTTCCTCTTTTGTAGAGATGGGGAGATTCTTCTGCTGAGAAATGGGTCCCAACGTCCCAGACAGTGAATACTGGGACACGAGGACCGTTTCCAGTATTCGGACATTGGGACCCATTTCCAGCACTGGGACGTTGGGGCCATTTTCTGCACTGGGACGTCAGGCCCATTTCCAGCACCGGGATTCCAGGGCCATTCTCAGCACTTGGTTGTTGGGCCTGTTTCCCAGAACTGGACCCGACGTCCCACAGGACAAATATGATGAAGAATAAGCACCTACTGCGGGCTTGGCAGAGTGGATGCTGGCGGTGTTTGGGCCCAAAGACTGAGTAGTAGGCCCAACGTCCCCTTGGATCTGTTCGTCTTGAGCTGGAGCGGGGACACTTGGCAGCAGCATGAACTCACATTTTCAAACCATCCGGGTCCCGATGCCAAGCCTAACCCTTCCCAGACAGAGGGGTTCCTTCTCCCACGGAGCCGTGAGGAGGAAGGGAAGCTCTCATACACAAATCAACTAAGACCAAGAAGGGCCCCACGCAGCCGTGATTGCCTGCCGTGTAATCTGAGCTATAATAGGAATGATCTCGTTTGCCAGGCAGTTACATCTGAAAGAAGGAACCGCAACCTGTAAAAAAAATGATTTTCGTTTTTGAAAAAATGAATTTACTCATTGTGCATGCAGGATATCTCACAGTTGATCCTGTGTCTTACATTTTCTCTCTTTGAAAACTCTCTCTCTCTCTCTCTCTCTCTCTCTCTCTCTCTCTCTCTCTCTCTCTCTCTTGCTTAAAGCCGACTTATGGAAAACTCTCACTGAAAACTCGTGAAGAGTTGCATTATATGTTACGTGACTGGTGTTGGAACTCAACTTTTTTTTTTTTGTTACCTTGCGCAAAACCACCGCTACCTTTCACAGGCAAATGCAAAGTCCATCTAGTAGCCTACTCCTGAAAACACGGGGCTCGGGGCAGGGTTGGAGGCCGACGAAAAAAGAAGAAAAAAAAGAAGAAAAAAAAAGAACGAAAACAAAGAGTCCCCACTCCAGGGATGTCGGGGAAAGCCCTCACGAGGGTGGAAGTTATACCATGTGCTTTGACGAATGTATCTGGCCACTATGTCGGACAAGGGATTGCAGTTCGTTTTTGTTTTTGTTTTGTTTTGAATTCCTTGTAGTGCCCTGCCAGCCAGGCAGGGCGTGTTTCACGGGTGGCACGTAACTGTCTCACTGCTGTAGCATCATGTATCCGCCGCCAATCACAGGATAAGGGATTCCTTTTTTTTTTGTCGTTGCTTCTCTGTTTTCTTCCAGTGCACGCCCACACTGAGGGTACAGTCACACAAGCAACTCATGGAATGTATCGGGTGGTTATCAAGACGTTCGGGAAGTCTCTTTTTTTTCTTTTTCTTTTTCTTTTTTTTTTCCCTTGTTCCTTCTTCGATGAAACTGCCCCGGCTCGGCCAAACTCGGTGCGCAGTGAAAATCAGGGCCGGCAAAAACAGGTTCGGAGGTAGTGGTGGTTTAAAAGCCAACCAACCTAACCAAAAAAAAAAAAAACCCAGCTGCATGCGTCTAACTTGAGCTGCAATATGAATGGTGCTGGTTGCGTCATGCATTGCAGGATATCTCACAGTTGATCCTCTGGGTGCTGGGCGAGGCACCGAACCCTAGATGGGTGTTTGTCAAGGTAAGCAGGACTCCTCCCCCCCCCTCTAAACTGGGAACTTGAGCACAGAAATATCTTAAGATGTATCAGTCTGTTAGGATTACGCAAAACTTGAATCAAGTTAAGCAATCGTCACCCACACAAACTGAAGTTGATTATTATTCAATCCAAAATACTTGGGATGAATCTGAGCGAAACTTATGTTGCACTTGGTGCCCCGGCTGTCCTGGTCACAGTGCATCGAACAGACTGAAAAATGTTGTAATATTCTGGGCGGTCTCCTTACTGTCTTCACCTGATAATGCCTGGTCATTATCTGTTCCTAGACTGAATGTTGCCCCAATACAGGTACACCGACTGGGCGTTCTACCCAGGTGGAGATGGTAGCCAGGGCTGTGCCCAATCGCTGCCAAACTAGACAGATCCTCCATAGTGAAACTTTGCTGCTCGAATCGTTTCTTTCGTCAAGCTCCGCATCCTCAGCCTAGGAAAATGTATCGGCGTGTTCTTCTCGGGTGAAGATGGTAGCTAAGGAATCGTTTCTGCCGATACAATGACCGCGTGATGGGCACAGCCGAGAAGAATCGTAGCTAAGGAATCGTTTCTTTCGTCAAGCTCCGCATCCTCAGCCTAGGAAAATGTATCGGCGTGATGGGCACAGCTTTACAATGACCGCGTGTTCTTCTCGGGTGAAGATGGTAGCTAAGGAAAATGTATCGGCTGTGCCCAAGCTCTCTGAAACAAGACACATTTTTTGTCAAGCATCTAAAGGGGTAGCAAAAAATGTATCGGCTGTGCCCAAGCTCTCTGAAACAGGACACATACTCCAAGGTTAAATAAGTTGCTTCTCTTCTCAACTTGTTTCTTTCGTCGAGCTACGCTTCTTCAGCTGACTGGACTCGCTGTCTACAATTAAAGACTCGATCTACTACCTACCCTCTGGAAGGTCAAGAATATAGGCTTGACAAACCTGAATAGGTTTGACAAACCTGTGTTGGCTTGACAAATATATGTAGGCTTGACGAAAACAGGCTCTACTTACGGTTTGAATTCTAAAGGGGTAGCAACAACAGCAAGCATGTATAGGCTTGACGAAAATAGGCTTTACTTACGGTTTCAATTATAAAGGGGTAGCAACAACAGCAAGCATGTATAGGCTTGACAAACAGAGGCTGTACGTACGGTTTCAATTCGAAAGGGGTGGCAAGAACAGCAAGCATGTATAGGCTTGACAAACAGAGGCTGAACGTATGGTTCAAATTGTAAAGGGGTAGCAACAACAGCAAGCATGCATAGGGGTAGCAACAACAGCAAGCATGCATAGGCTTGACAAACAGAGGCTGTACTTATGGTTTGAATTCGAAAGGGGTAGCAACAACAGCAAGCATGTATAGGCCTGACAAGCATCTAAAAGGGTAGCAACAACAGCAAAGCAACTGTTTGCCAACAGTTTTGTTTTTGTTTTTGTCTACAATAGGTCCTTATGGTCTTGGCTGCGATTCCGTTATGGGAAGTGTCAGTCCCAGTGCTCTTAAGAGCACAACCTTCATGCACTCATCATTCCTTCCGTTTGGCCGAAGGACCCCTGATCAGCATTGATTGCTCTGCAAGGCGGTGGGTTGATGATAGTCCTCTCAGAGTCGGTTTGAAAGTCTGTCAGATTTGTCTGTTGAAAAAGCGAGGATTACCGACGGGCGTAGCTCAGGTTCGACCATGAACTGAGCTAGGCCCGTTGGTAATCTTCGCTTTTGAAATGCCGACCCAAGGCCAAATGCACATGTACGAATAAAACAATTCTGAATCACTTGGGGCCGGTACGTTCAATGATGATATCTCAACACCATCGCCCTTTTTTTTTTCTCATTTTTGTTTTCAATGCTAGAATTGTGGATGGAAAAGCTTGCAGATGTAGTCCTTTTGTTTTTTTGAGCTTGCAGACTTAGTCCTATGTTCTCACTGCCTCTCTTCTGATCATTGGTTCCTGCTTGCCCTGAGAGCGAGCGTTGCAAGCTGCCTGTCTATAACTGAAAAAAAACCGTGATCGTCTCTCTGTTTTAAGTTCCTGGCGATAGACTGTCCAAACGAGCATCTGCCGTTTCCGAGTTGTGCCAGTTCTTCCATTGGATTCTTGAACCCTGGATCCCTTCGACCTTGCCATGTGCCAACCTGACATCATCAAAGCCTGCCTCGATTGTCAAAAGTTACTTCATGTGTGTGTGTGTGTGTGTGTGTGTGTGTGTGTGCAGGTGCACGGGTGGATGCATGTGTTTGTGCGGTTGTGTGTGTGTGTGGGCGTTGTGTGTGTGTGTGTGTGTGTGTGTGTGTGTGTGTGTGTGTGTGTGTGTGTGTG